TAAACGATAAAATAAAGTAGAAATGGTTAAATAGGACATATTGAACTTGAATTTTTCTCAATAAAACTTTTCATAGTTAACTGGAGAAATATGAATTAAATTATTACTAATACCATATTACCCTAAGATTAAAAATTTAAACCTAATTTAAATACATTACGCTAAACAAATTAGATCTAATAAAAATAAAAATAAAACATACTATAGTTGACCCCAAACGATTCTTACCATGAATGAAACTTTGACTAAATTTTACCTATTGATAAATCCACCATACATATTTTATATGTTTAGTGTTGAAAATGTATATACATGCATACATGAGTAGATAATAAAGAATCAAAATAGCTAGTGAAAATTAAAAAAAAAAAAGTATTAAATTTAAAAATACAACTTTCCATAGAAACCAGATAAAATATTTATGGATATTGAAATTTCATGAGAAATTATACTCATAGAAACCTCATGAAAACATTCACAATAAACAAACACACAGATTTGGCTGATAGTGGCATCCTGGTTTTGACATTATTTTTTGATACTTGGTTTGTACTAGTTACTCGATAAAAATGTATTTGTTACTTATTAAAAGTAATTGTTACATTTTAAAAAGTATCTGCTACTCGTTAAAATAATTTATTTATTTTTATTTAAAATACTTGTGAATAATCAAATATTGTATAGAAAGGTATCTGATTTTACCAAGTAACCTATGGAGGTAAGTAACTTTCAAGTACTAGCTTTTTTCTCTGAATAACAAGTATTTGATTCAAACAAGACAAGTACAAGTACTAAATCAGACTACTCAAACAAACAAGTAAGACTACTCATATTGAAAAAAACCCCTAACAAAACTCCAATGTTTTCTTATTTTATGAATATATTTCACCATTGAAGAGGGATGAGAATCATCTATTGATCTCTCCTCTGATGAGGTAAAAAGTCCTGATAGAATTCACAACTGAAACTCTGTGCGATATCATCATAACTACGCCAAACCAAGCAATTATTTCATCAACCAAATACAAACCGATTACTATAATCTCACTTTTACCTTTTTTTGTCTAAACCAATGAAAACTCCAAACCTTTTGTTGGTAATGCTCTGGGAAACCTTCCACAAACCTTCAATCTGCAATGAGAAGCGGTGAACTCTCGGATCACCATTTGATTTGTCCAAGAAGTTCTAATTACACCACTGATGAATGTCTTCTTCGAGCTTCATCCCAATGATTCATAGTATTTTGTGGTTTATTTCCAAATTTATAAAAGAGTTTGAATTGGTAAATAAATTCCATCTATTCCTCAGAATAAAAGAGTTAAAGACTGTTGTAACTTAAATGGTATACTTGACAGAAGAGTCTCTTCAAGAAAACAATCGACGGAAGTTAAATCTCAGAGAGCCATCAAAGTATCCGCAGATCCTCCGTTGCACGACGACATCATTGAGGAGTCTAGTCAGGTATCAACAAACCCAAAAGCAAAAAAAAATTGAAAAAGAAAAAGTTTTTTCCAATTTTATAGATTGTGATGTAAGGGTGATGTAAGGTTTGGTCACTAATGTTACTCTGCGTCAGCCTAGTGCATCTGGAGGAGTTATGTCTCTTCGTGGTCAGTTTGAGATCTTGTCTATGTGCGGTGCGTTTCTTCCAACTTCCGGTTCTCCGGCTGCAGCCGCTGGTTTAACTATTTACTTGGCTGGAGCTCAGGACCAGGTCGTGGGAAGTGGAGTAGTTGGCCGCTTATTGCGTCTGGACCGGTTATTGTAATCGCTGCTACGTTTTGTAATGACACTTTTGAGAGGGTACGGATAGAAGATGAGCAGCAAGGAGAGCAGCAGCAACCACAAGTTGAATGATTACATGGTTAGGCTTTTGTTTATTAAGCTCTCAAAGTTTTCCTCTTGTGCGGTTATTGAGATTTAGCTAGTGTTTGTTTATTTGTTTGTTTTGTGGCAGTGATTACTTGTTTTTTCAGACTGGTTATTTATGAACGTAAAACTGATGGTAGAATCGCATTTAGGCTTGATATGTTTCTTCTTAAGTTAACTTGTGGAAAACTTGAGTATTTGTCTTGAAGAGAAATGGTGTTTCGCTTCTACGTTGAAAGCAATGTTGGTAAGTTTGATTCTTATTGATCTTTTGAGTTGCTGAAGCACTTTAACATTACGAGAGACATAGGCTGGCTCCTAGTTTGATACAAATCAAGATTACAACTAATAGTTTTTTTCTCGTTTATGCATATCTTTTATATTTGTTTAAAATTTCTAATTATAAATTTGTATTTCTATTTTTTATATGTTTTTATGTCATGTTTTTTTAAATGTTATGAAATCTAAGTTTTGTAATATTTAAATTTAATAATTTAATTTCTAAAAAAAAATTAAAAACCTTATCAGGGTTTTCCTAATGGACCTCCACAAAACTAATTACATTAATAAGAATTCTAAACTTCATAAAATACATAATTAACTATTAAATTAGTTTTAAGAACCCACTAAAAATTATAACCAATGGAGGTGGTTTAAATAATTTAGATTTTTGAAGATGCATCGACAGGATCACTGCTCACACAAAAACTTTTCAGAGTTGATTAAATTAATCACAGTAATAATTATAACAATAATTAATCACAATGATATTTTATAAATCTTATATATTAAAACAGAAGTCATGACTTCATTTCATGTGTGATATTTTAAAATAGACCATCTAATAGAATTTATGACATTACATTATTCAATCATTAATAACATTCATTAAATTCACAAATAACATTTATTGGGCTTACTATAATTTTTATTGGGCTAATAAAAACTAAATGATCTATTGGATTTATAGGTATTATAATAAAATACATGTTTAAATTAAAATTATATAATTTAATATTGTAATAGTATAAGTTAATTATTTATATATTTTTGATGTTAACTTTAAAAATTATATAGTTTATTTTTAAAAATAACAAAATCATCATTTACTAACAATAATTAATCTATACTATATATAATAATTAATCATCATTTTCGATATACACACCTTATATAATATATACCAATTTAGAAGTAAAAAAAATATTTATATAAAAATAAATGAAAACAAATACCCGCGCGGTTGCGCGGGTTGAGATCTAGTAATAGTTAAGATTTAAAATTTAAACAATAATTCTATAAATAGTTTCAAAAAGGACTTTTGGATTTCAAAATAAGTACAAAAACAAAATTAAAAAAAAAAATCGAATTGAGAAAGAAAAACAAATTATATTAAAAAAATTATATATCCATCGAGTAAAGATATAAGGGTATTGAACCTATTTAATAGTTGACAAAAAAAAACTATTTAATAAAAGGGATAATTTGAAAAATACCCTATTTGTGATTTAAATTTTGAACAATGCATTTATGTTTTTGCTTTTTGAAAATTACTCTTTCTTTTATGTGATAAGACAATTATATCCTCTGATTAAAATTAAAAAGTTAAAGGATCTCAAATTATTATTAATATTATTCGTCTGTAAAAAAAGCTGCTCCATAATTTATTTATTAACTTAATCAGTGACATATTTGGTAGTTCATAGTGTGTTTTGTTCTTAGAGTTCAAACACACATCATTTACAGATTACCTTTGCTTATAAAAATGTTATATTTGTCATGTGTAAAAAACATGTGACTCAAGTAACATTTGATTCCTCCGGATAATCTCATGTTATGACGATGAGATGTATTTCATCAAAACATACATTGAATTCTGCTGTTTTTAAGCTTTTGAAGTTGTTTTCACCAACTCAGCAATCTGGAAAGACATGATGTAAAGTTGTCTAACTTACATTTGTCACTAGAAATATTCACATGCAAACTAACCATCATAATTTTTTGTCTGCAGGGTTGAAAACTACCAACTTCGTGTACTGATTTGCGAAATATAAAAGCCTATGTATACTAATACTCCACAATATATCTATTTTATTCATGAAACCATTGACCTTTTCCAGTAATATTTACACATCATAATCATTAGATTGGTAATCTTGAAAAAATAGAGAAGTTCCGTGATTTGCAGGAAAATAGAAAACAGCATATGTATGGTGGTGATATTTTTCTATGAGTATATTAGATTAGATATTATTGTTGAGTTTTTGTTGTTGAATTTGTTACTAACTATATTTTCAAACGCTTAATTCAAAATTTTATTTATGGATTCACTGAAATTATTAATTGAAATATTAAAATAACTATAGACATTTAAATTTGATAGTTTAGTAATTTTGCTTATAGGTAAAGGTATTTATCCAAAAACATAAAAAATAGTGTAGTTTTCAAAATATAATCTCACCTTAAGATATTTTTCCAAATTTCCCCTTAATAAAAACCTATTTGGATTGTTTATCATCTTGTGAAAACTTTTGATCAAAGACTTTAAAGATCTTATGGGAGATTTGTCGTCATAATGGGCTTGAGGATATCCCAAACGGCCCTATTTTCTTCCGCGTGAACAAATAACAAAAAAATACCGAATTGACTGAAGAGTAGGGAGACAGTTTCGGTGCTTGAAAGGGTTTGCTTTGCTTGCGGATGAAGAATCGCGCATCCTCCCTTTCTCTCTTTCCAACCCTATTTTAACCCTTTCCACCCCCTCACGCATCTCAAAACTTACTCTTTCATCCTCCAAACTTCCTTTTAGATTCTTAATCCTATACATCTTCTCATACGAACCCATCAGTTACTCTGTGTTTCCTTATAATCAAATCAATCCTTCAAACTCTCTCTCTCTGTGAAGCAGCGTCTTGAATGGTAGAAACAACTCCGAGTACCAGAGAATTTATGCTCTCCCATTGCACCAACGCAAGGGCGAGCTTTCTCCTCCCTCCTCTCTCTTCCTCCTTCACTTTTGGCTCTTGCAAGGAATCCTGGTACTTCCGTTGCATCGGTGTCGACCCTTGAACCAAACTCAACTCCCCCCCATCAAAAGTTTTATTTCTTTTTTTGGCGCTTTATTGTTAAAGATGTTGCTGTACAACAACAACAAGCAGAAGAAAACACACAAGTCTAAGATTAATAGGTTCCTCGTTAGCATTAGTTTCTTAGGAAGTGCTGGACCCATTCGTTTTGTTGTTAAAGAAGATGAAACTGTTTCTAGTGTGATTGATTATGCTCTCAAATGCTATGCTCGTGAAGGCAGGCTTCCACTACTCGGTTCTGATTCTAGCTTTTTCCTTCTCTACTCTCCTTACTATGCAGTTGAAGGTAAGTTATGAGTTTTTTTACTGCCATATGTGTTTGGTATTGATTCTGTAATGAATACTTTTTTTTAATTATTTCAGCATTTAATCCATGGGGAAAGATTGGTTCAACCGGATCAAGAAACTTTGTTCTGTCTAAGAAGTTAGACGCTTCTGTAGACACAACAACAACAATCCGGAAGACCTCTGGGAAATGGAAGGCTTGGCTCAACAAGTCTCTAGGACTTATGGTTCCTTCTCATTAGATTATGCTTTCTTGGGACTTCTGCATTTGTCTTTTGGTTTTCTTGTCAAAGGAATAAGCATCACAAACACTTGTGCTTCGGCTTTTTTTTGTTGTATTTCGCTACACTAATAAATGGATTGAGGTTTTGATAGAATGAAAATATGTTCTTTAACTTATTACATGTTTATCTCTTCTCCATGGTTTCTGGTATGGGACCAACAATGCAAAGCCTTGAGAGAGCCCATTAAAATATCTATCCAATGTTTGTTAAACTGCTTTGGCTAGTTGTAGTAGTGTCTAGGATCACAATAAGAAAGTAAGCATCAATACCAACATGTGTTTCTGTAATGTTTTATTAAAACAAAAAAAAAACTATGCTAATGTGAGAATCTCAGCTCTTTCTCGATCATCTAATGTCTTATAACAGTTATTGATTCTGGATCATGCACCGCCTTTTGAAAGATTCAGCAGAAGAAGAAGCTGCTCCAAATTCATGTCCTTCGGTCCATTAGCTTGAGCATCTGGTCCCAAACGAGGCACTTGTGATGACTGACCAGTCTCCACTACTAACAGAAGCAAAGACAATGTCATTCTTCAAGTATTAGGAACACACATTGAGAGAAACTCGAGGGAAAAGGATAAGAATAATTACAGCTTTCACCAGGAGGACATGTAAGTTGTTTCTCTAGCTTTATCATGACCTTTATATCCTTTAAGCTCTTCAGTGTACGTGTCTTACTGGCCAATGATGTCGAACCTACACACGATCACAGGAGAATCAAACGAAAAAACTCAAAATGAGCTATGTTTTATCTCTGTTGGATGACTTACAAGATCTAGTTTCTGCTGTGGTCTGAGCAGTAGCTGTTACTTCTTCACCAGTCCCAGAACAAAACGAACAAAAAAACAATTTATCAGATAATGTCATGTGTGAAAAGGAACCTAATAGGGTTTGTCTGTGTACTAATTACTTACTTGGTGCTTCTTGTTCACGTAACTTCCGCTTCTTCTCGCAAGCTTCATAGTAAGATTTGAAGTTACGTTGATATCTTTGTTCAAGACGATCCCACACTACAAAAAAAGTATATAGTAAAAATTACTGAAAACCTTTTGCCCATTAATGGTTCTATGAAAAAAAATCTAATTACCTTCGTTGGTCGATTCAGGTGTTATTTGATATCGATCCAATAGATGTTTTACAGTCTCTTCCTTACTCTTGTAATTACGCATACACTCCATGATCTTTCCATGAACCTGAAACAGAGCAAAGAAAAAGAAGAGAGTGAGAGATTATAATGTAACTTCTAACTGATTGATAAAATGAAATGAAGTGATTGGAATATTCTTACGTAATATGAGAACTCCTCCACGCTCTTAAAATCTCTAGGTAACAAGGCAGATTCTTGAGGTTCTTGTGATGTTACAGCATCATCATTATATCTCTTGATACTACAGCGACGTTGCTGATATTGTATCTCTCTTTTATCCCTGAACCACCTCGGTATAAGTTGGTAGCTGTGTATTACTGAAGCTTCACGGATCCTCCGATAAGCCTCGCAAGATTCATAGTGGGCTCTGAATTCCTCTGGATACGTTGCTTCAAGAATATCCCAAACTACAAAATAAAGAAACGTTTTTATGCCTTAAACACACATTGATGATTCGGTGCAAAAAGCAAAATTAGAAGTGTTACGTTACCTATGCTGGTCATATCAGGTGTGATTTGATAATGATCCATTAGATGTTTCATAGTTTCTTCCTTGTTCTTGTCTTGTTTCATGCATTCTTCGATTCTGCGATGAATCTGAAACAGAGAGAGACTAGTGAAAAAGGTTTCTTGACTCTTACGTTTAATTCTTAGGGTTGATGAAAATCTTACGTATGCCGAGAGCTCCTCCCTGCTCTTACAACCTCCGGGAAGATTATCCATTTACAGTACAAGAAACCTCTCTCTGCGATCTTTTGTTGAAGATTGGTTCGATCTGAGTGGAGAGTTCCGGGAGAGGCGAAGAGATATTCTGATAAACAATGAAGTGTAAAAGGTTTGATTCTTTGCTCCTTTGATTTGAGGCTTTATAAATATAAGCTCTGCTGAAAGGCTTTTTATGTCTCGGCCCATTTGTTATTATTGGGCTGGCATGTAATTCAAACATTACACTTACCGTAATGCGCAAGAAAGTATAGTTTATCTTTTTTTTTTTTTTGTAATCCAGGGTTCCCCGCTTCGCGGGTCATTCCCTGGGCCCGGTCAGGCAGCGGTCCACTTCACCCGGGAAGGTTGTACCTGGGCCTAGGCTCAGTATCACTTTGGTGACATGGAAGAGGCAGTTCGCCACCACCTAGTATCGAACCCGTGAGCATGACAATTGGTCCCCAAGATTCATGAGTAATTAGATTGACTGCATGAAGAGAGTTTACACATATTGACTTCATGAATTAAACATGTGTATCTTCAGTGATTCATTTTTACCTATTGAATGGGCTGATATTGCTATTAGTGTTTGGCTTTCGAATATCTTTTGGATCGAAGTTTTATTATTTTTTAAATAGTTTTAAACTACATTCGAGTCTTATGAATGTTGAGATAGATTTGGTAAATAATAAGTTATTAATTATTACTATAAAACTATAATAATAATTTAGTTTCAGTAGATTTACAACTCTATCACAAATTGGATCTTATAATATTTTAAACTCATATTTTCAACCAAATTAAAATAAATATAAAATTAAGTATATAAGTATTCTTACAACAGTAGCTAAGAACTTAACATGCCGGTTCGAAAAGATATTTATATAGGTTTTGAATATTCATTTCATATTTTATCATCATTCCTTTCATTATTAATTTAAAATTTTATATTAAATTCTGTAGGAAATTTCAAAATTTCACATTTTATATTTTCTATATTTTTGGATTCCGATCAAATTTTAAAAATATTATTATTCAAAAAATCACTTTACAGAATTTATTCTGAGTATGTTTACAAATTGAATCTGCTACGGTATCAAGTTTTTTAAAAAAATTTTGATTTGGATTAAGTTATAGACATCATTGATATCATAAATAATAGTAGTAGTGTATAAAGATAAAAATGTGAATGTATAGTTGTTTTAGATTATATATTGTGGAGAAAAATTATACTCTGAAATGAGTTGAAAAGTTACTAATTACTTAAAACTATTATTTTTATTCCAAATATTGTTGATAAAACAAGATTAGCACGCTAACTTTATTCTTAGTTTTGCATTAAAATACATTAACGCTGAATTTTGTTTCTCTCTTTACTTTTTCACGTTGTTCGCTTTCTTTACATTTTCACTTTTTTTTTATTTACACCACTTTATTTCCAAATTTACCGGATACAGCCGAATGGGAACAAGGAAAAACTAAAATCACAACTAGCAGTCCTGGAAATCGAGATCTGTTCCTCGACGTCAAAATGATTGATGACACCATTTTTAGTCTCACTGATTGATAACTAGTACTGCATAACCGTATTAAACACCCATTTAATTTTGGTCAAAAACCTTAAAGGAAAAAATAATAAATGAAATTATCTTTTTTTTCTACAATGAAATTATCATTATTAAATATAACTGTTCGTTCGAAAAAGTCAAAATGAGTAGTAATGAACCGTACGGATATTGGATAAATCAGACCTAGGTAAGCATATCTCTTACCGAAAGAACCAAGTCGTCAAAGTCAGAAAAATATGATGGTATATTGCTAGTTTTCCAAACGGTGAAGTTAAAATAAAGAAAGAATAAATCATAATATATATGTCTATAATCGTAAGAAAAATCAATTTTAATATATGCCTTTAATCGTAAGAAAAGTAAAGAAATTTAAATAAAGAAAGATTTTTATTATGATTCGATTGTAAGCAAAAAGTCATAACTACGAACAAAATACCATCATATTTTTTGCTAAAATATCATGGTATTTTGCTAGTTTTTCAAACACTAAAGTTAAAATAAAGAAAGAATAAATCATAATATATGCTTCTTTAATCATAAGAAAAATAAAGATTTTTGTAGTTTAATTGGATTCTAAAAGAATATGAAATTTCAACTATGGGGAGCATAACAAACTTAAGAATTTGTTTTTTCAGTAAAATATTTTTTTTTTAAGAAATCAGTTTAAAACAAGTATAAAATATTGGGAAATATAAATTTTCAAATGGGAAAAAATGTCTAACTGTCACATACTAATATTTATCCTGATAAAAACATTTTTAAAGAAGTTAAGAGTAAAAAATAACGTTTGTTGATAAAATTACGTTTTAAAGGTTTTTCCTCTTTAAACCTGGAATTTTAATGTAAAATGTATGATATCGTGGTCTTAAAAAGTTAGAAATCAAAGTTGACAAAATTTATAAATATAGAGGTGAGTAATATAATTTCGGTTTGATTTTCAGTGCCTCTTTTGGTATATAAATCAAAGCAAAACAATGAAAACGACTTAGCATTATATAATCTGGTCCGCCTACTGTCCCAAATACAATCCTGACGTGATACAAATGAATGGACCCAATATAACTTTTTAATGCAAAGTTGAACTTTTAGTGTAAGCCATGGAAGCTATACAGAACTAGAAATATAGAATTGGGTTCCGATCTTGAAATGGTCATATGATTATCTATAATAGTTATACTTTTCTGTTTTATGTTTCGGTTTAGGTCCGGTCCGACTCTTTTTTATATTTATCATCAACCATGCTCTGTTTAATAGTATAGCTATAAGAATAAAGATTTTTTAAAAATCTATGTTGAGTCTATAAACTAGTAATAAACAATCGAATACATCACTACAAGAAAACTAAGCCATTACTAGGAAAATTTACTAGGAAAACATTTCCTCGTAAAAATACTACTAGTTTACTTCGACTTTACGAGGAAACATCTTTTCCTCGTAAGGTTCTCGTAAACTTACGAGAAAAGCGTTTCCTCGTAAAGTGGAAGTAAATTTACGAGGCTCTTACGAGGAAAATATTATTTTCC